CAACATAGAAGCAGCAAGAGAAAATATGGGCCAATAAGCCTTTTGTAGTTACTTTCATTCTTATGTTCTCATATGCAACTCATACCCATTGATTTGTGTCACCTCACCCAAAACGATATAATGAAATGATGTGTGAACCTGTCTTTGAAAATGTGAGAAGTCCTTACGAAACGCTTTTAGGTGTCAGACCATAAATAAAAAATTGAGAAAATTAACTTTTGAGAGTTAATTTTTCAATTACCCCCGACAGTGAAGAAAAAGTGTATGTGTAAACTTACCTAATTGTGCTTGCGAGGGTTGAGCTCTGGCTCTTTGGTCCCGCCTCTCAACTGTCAATCAACATGTGTACAGGTTTCTGAGCCTACTGGGCTCTATTATATCTATACTTGAAGCTGAGTATGGAGTCAGCCTCCACCACATCACTTCATAATTCATTCCATTTGTCTACTACTCTGACACTGAAAAATTCTTTCTAACGTCTCTATGGCTCATTTGGGCACTCAATTTCCACCTGTGTCCCGTACCAATTTAGTGCGTGTGCCCCTTGTGGTAAATAGCCTGTCTTTATCTACCCTATCAATTCCTCTGAGAATCTTGTATGTGGTGATCATGTCCCCTCTAACTCTTCTGTCTCCCAGTGACGTGAGGTTTAATTCCCGTAGTCTCTCCTCGTAGCTCACCCCTCAGTTCAGGTACTAGTCTGGTGGCAAACCTTTGAACCTTTTCCAGTTTAGTCTTATGCTTGACAAGATATGGACTCCATGCTGGGGCTGCATACTCCAGGATTGGTCTGACATATGTGGTGTACAAAGTTCTGAAAGATTCTTTACCCAAGTTCCTAAAGGTCGTTCTTATGTTAGCCAACCTGGCATATGCCGCTGATGTTATCCTCTTGATATGAGCTTCAGGGGACAGGTCTGGCGTGATATCAACCCCCAAGTCATTCTTTCTCTTAGACTCTTAAAGTATTTCAACTCCCAAATGATACCTTGTATCTGGTCTCCTGCTCCCTACACCTATCTTCATTACATTGCATTTGGTTGGGATAAATTCTAACAATCATTTGTTCGACCATTCCTGCAGCTTGTCCAGGTCTTCTTGAAGCCTCAAGCTGTCCTCCTCTGTCTTAATCCTTCTCATAATTTTGGCGTCGTCAGCAAACATTGTGAGGAATGAGTCTATACCCTCTGGGAGATCATTTACGTATATCAGAAACAGGATAGGTCCAAGTACAGAGCCCTGTGGGACTCCACTGGTGACTTCACGCCATTCTGAGGTCTCACCCCCTCACTATAACTCTCTGCTTCCTATTGCTTAGGTACTCCCTTATCCACTGGAGCACCCTACCAGTTACTCCTGCCTGTTTCTCCAGCTTATGCATCAACCTTTTATGGGGTACTGTGTCAAAGGCTTTCCGACAGTCCAAAAAAATGCAGTCCGCCCATCCTTCTCTTTCTTGCTTAATCTTTGTCACCTGATCATAGAATTCTATCAAGCCTGTAAGGCAAGATTTACCCTCCTGAACCCATGTTGATGGGTTGTCACGAAGTCTCTTCTCTCCAGATGTGTTACTAGGTTTTTTCTCACAATCTTCTTGCATGGTACACAAGTTAAGGACACTGGCCTGTAGTTCAGTGCCTCTTGTCTGTCACCCTTTTTAAATATTGGTACTACATTAGCAGTCTTCCATACTTCTGGTAGGTCTCCCGTTTCCAGTGACCTACTATACACTATGGAGAGTGGCAAGCAAAGTGCTCCTGCACACTCTTTCAATACCCATGGTGAGATTCCATCCGGCCCAACAGCTTTTCTCACATCCAGCTCCAATAGGTGCTTCTTGACCTCATCTCTTGAAATTTCGAACCTTTCCAAGGTCACCTGGTTTGCTGCCACCTCTCCTAGCGCCGTGACTTCTCCCTGTTCTATTGTAAAGACCTCCTGGAACCTTTTGTTGAGTTCTTCACACACCTCTTTGTCATTCTCTGTGTACCTGTCCTCGCCCACCCTAAGTTTCATCACCTGTTCCTTCACTGTTGTCTTCCTCCTGATGTGACTGTGTAGTAGCTTTGGTTCGGTCTTGGCTTTATTAGCTATATCATTTTCATACCTTTTCTCAGCTGCTCTTCTCACACTGACATACTCGTTCCTGGTTCTCTGGTATATCTCTCTACTTTCTGGTGTTCTGTTATTACGGAAGTTCCTCCATGCCCTTTTGTTCAGCTCCTTAGCTTTCATACATTCCCTATTAAACCACGGATTCTTCCTTTGCTTCTCTGTTTTTTTCTGTTGGGCTGGGACAAACCTGCTTACAGCCTCCTGACATTTTTGGGTGACATAGTCCATCATGTCTTGTACGGACTTGGTTCCGAGTTCTGTGTCCCAATGTATATCCCATAGGAATTTATTCATCTCCTCATAGTTTCCCTTTCGGTACGCCAGCCCTTTGTTTCCCAGTGTGTGTGTGTATGTGTGTGTGTGTGTGTGTGTGTGTGTATGTGTGTGTATGTGTGTGTGTGTGTGTGTGTGTGTGTGTGTGTGTGTGTGTGTGTGTGTGTGTGTGTGTGTGTGTGTGTGTGTGTGTGTGTGTGTGTGTGTGTGTGTGTGTGTGTGTAAATCACGAAAAGTAACACGTGATGTAAAATGTGATGATTTGTTATGATATTCTTGATTATTTTGCTCATGAATTAATGAATCATGTTTTACCTCTCTGTCCATATTGTTGTCAATCTCGTTAAGCTGTGCATAAAAGAAGGTGAATTTACCTGTAATTATGAGTATTATTTACAGACTTTTGGAATGGCAATGGGGATTCCTTTATCACCATTGCTTTCAAACTTGTATTTGTAATTCTTTGAAAATAAATGTGTTTCAAAAATTCCCCCTGGAATCATTCCATGGTTAAGATATGTGATGATATTTTGTGTGCATGGCCTTCAGGTGTAAACACGGACGAACTGGTAGCTAAACTTGATCAAGTCATCTCTATAACATTTACTATGGAGACTGAAATGGGTAAATGTTTGCCATTCTTATATATACTTATTCATAGGGAAGATTGTTCACTGAAGTTCAGTGTTTACAGGAAGCCTACCAATAATTTATCTTATGTTCATTATTTTCAGGACATAGAGACAATGTGAAATAATCTATTATTTCCTCTATGTATCTAAGAGCTCTTCGGGTTGTTAGACCAGAACTCTTAGATGAAGAGTTTAAGAATATTGATTCTCTTGGTCTCAAGTTTTGTTATCTACTCATTTTGTTGGAAGTTTACCGTAGCAAAGCACGTCGTATATATTATAATAATATACGCTGTTAGGAAATTCGCCCAATGAATGTGTTAAGTTTACCATATTTCTCTGGGTTGGAAAATTGTTTCAAAGCCTTGAAACTTTCTGATATACATGTATTGTTTAGTTACGAAAATACTGTTGGTACACTGATAGTTAGAAACAGCCCTCGCAGTGATAATTACAAAATTATTTGTCAAAAAAATTATTTGTATTTGTAAATGACAAAGTCATTTATAAAATACCTTGTAAAGACTGTAATAGGTTGGGCAAACATCTAAAGTTTTGAAATGTATAATTTCGCAACATAAATACTCTGTAAGACATGGCCAATTGTCTAATGCTTTGTTCATTTGTCAGAAAATTCTCACCAAATTGATTGGAAGATGGCTTCTTCAATAACGAATTGTAAATTCACTTTCAATAGGAACTTAATTAAATCTGCTTTAATACAAACTACAAACTCATGTAATTTGAACATTAGCAGTGGTTAGTATAATTTAGATCCATTTTTGATTGATCAGTTAAAGAGCGATTTGAGTAGGATCATTCATACACATTTGTCTCACTAATACCGTGTTAATGTACATTATCTTATGGTATTAACATCCACGTATGGACCTATTGGCCCATAGGATGCAACTCCTATTAATATCGACCCAATCCCATTCATATATTTGTCACTGTACCTCACTTCACTTCCTCTCTCCTGCCTATATATGTCAAAATGTACTGACTTGTAAGTCACCCTTCTGAAGATGTATTATTATATACGAAAGTACTTAAGGAAATTACAATTTCAATTCTTCTTTCGTGGTCTGACACTCACGGGCTGGCAGACCTGCTATATATATATGTTGTACCTAGTAGCCAGAACGCAATACTCAGCCTACTATGCAAGGTCAGATTTGCCTAATAAGCCAAGTTTTCCTGAATTTATATATTTTTCTAATTTTTTCTTATCAAATGATAAAGCTATCCGTTTCATTATGTATGAGTTCGTTTTGTTTAATTGGAGTTAAAACTAACGTAGATATGTGACCGAACCTAACCTACCCTACCTAACCTAACCTAACCTAACCTAACCTACCCTACCTAACCTAACCTAACCTAACCTAACCTACCCTACCTAACCTAACCTAACCTAACCTAACCTACCCTACCTAACCTAACCTAACCTACCCTACCTAACCTAACCTAACCTACCCTACCTAACCTATCTAAACCTAGCCGCCTAAACCAAAACAACAAAGTCAATAATTTATGTTCCTAGTAAAATATACTAATGATAATTCAAATAAACCAATTGGAAACAATTTATGGAAAATAAAGAAAATCACTCAGCCTATTAGGCAAATCGGTCTTTGCATAGTAGGCCGAGAAGTGCGTTCTGGCTACTAGGTACGACATATATATATATATATATATATATATATATATATATATATATATATATATATATATATATATATATATATATATAGCTGGGGATGAAGGATGGGTGCACCTTCAAGATAATTCGTGAGCGGTAAGTGTGTTAGTGGGAGTGTCTTGAACAGTGAACAATAGAGAAGTGTGTCAACACCAACCTGTCCTCCCACCTAATAGGTCACCTTTCTGCCGGATTTGACCAATCCGTTAAAAATGCGACGCATTGGTCAACACCTTAAACACGGTAATATTGACAGTTTGGTGGTGTTGTTTGTATAGGAGGTTTCTGGCCACCTGGTGCCCGCAGCCCACCTGGTGCCCACAGCCCACCTGGTGCCCACAGCCCACCTGGTGCCCACAGCCCACCTGGTGCCCACAGCCCACCTGGTGCCCGCAGCCCACCTGGTGCCCGCAGCCCACCTGGTGCCCGCAGCCCACCTGGTGCCCGCAGCCCACCTGGTGCCCACAGCCCACCTGGTGCCCGCCGCCCACCTGGTGCCCGCACACCACCTGGTGCCCGCAGCCCACCTGGTGCCCGCACACCGCCTGGTGCCCGCAGCCCACCTGGTGCCCACAGCCCACCTGGTGCCCACAGCCCACCTGGTGCCCACAGCCCACCTGGTGCCCCCAGCCCACCTGGTGCCCACAGCCCACCTGGTGCCCGCAGCCCACCTGGTGCCCGCAGCCCACCTGGTGCCCGCAACCCACCTGGTGCCCGCACACCACCTGGTGCCCGCACACCACCTGGTGCCCGCAGCCCACCTGGTGCCCACAGCCCACCTGGTGCCCGCAGCCCACCTGGTGCCCGCAGCCCACCTGGTGCCCGCAGCCCACCTAGTGCCCGCACACCACCTGGTGCCCGCAGCCCACCTGGTGCCCGCACACCACCTGGTGCCCGCAGCCCACCTGGTGCCCACAGCCCACCTGGTGCCCGCACACCACCTGGTGCCCGCACACCACCTGGTGCCCGCACACCACCTGGTGCCCGCACACCACCTGGTGCCCGCACACCACCTGGTGCCCGCAGCCCACCTGGTGCCCGCAGCCCACCTGGTGCCCGCACACCACCTGGTGCCCGCACACCACCTGGTGCCCACAGCCCACCTGGTGCCCGCACACCACCTGGTGCCCGCAGCCCACCTGGTGCCCGCACACCACCTGGTGCCCGCAGCCCACCTGGTGCCCGCAGCCCACCTGGTGCCCACAGCCCACCTGGTGCCCACAGCCCACCTGGTGCCCGCAGCCCACCTGGTGCCCGCAGCCCACCTGGTGCCCGCAGCCCACCTGGTGCCCACAGCCCACCTGGTGCCCACAGCCCACCTGGTGCCCGCAGCCCACCTGGTGCCCGCAGCCCACCTGGTGCCCGCAGCCCACCTGGTGCCTGCAGCCCACCTGGTGCCCGCACACCACCTGGTGCCCGCACACCACCTGGTGCCCACAGCCCACCTGGTGCCCGCAGCCCACCTGGTGCCCGCAACCCACCTGGTGCCCGCACACCACCTGGTGCCCGCAGCCCACCTGGTGCCCGCAGCCCACCTGGTGCCCGCACACCACCTGGTGCCCGCACACCACCTGGTGCCCACAGCCCACCTGGTGCCCGCACACCACCTGGTGCCCGCAGCCCACCTGGTGCCCGCACACCACCTGGTGCCCGCAGCCCACCTGGTGCCCGCAGCCCACCTGGTGCCCGCACACCACCTGGTGCCCGCAGCCCACCTGGTGCCCGCAGCCCACCTGGTGCCCGCAGCCCACCTGGTGCCCGCACACCACCTGGTGCCCGAAGCCCACCTGGTGCCCGCAGCCCACCTGGTGCCCACAGCCCACCTGGTGCCCGCAGCCCACCTGGTGCCCGCACACCACCTGGTGCCCGCACACCACCTGGTGCCCGCAGCCCACCTGGTGCCCACAGCCCACCTGGTGCCCGCAGCCCACCTGGTGCCCACAGCCCACCTGGTGCCCGCAGCCCACCTGGTGCCCGCAGCCCACCTGGTGCCCGCAGTACCTGTGGACCTTGATGCAGTAAACTCATTTGAGTGGTGTAGACTAACATGACTCGTCATGTTAGTCTACACTACTCGTCACTGTAGGTAGACTCCCCCCCTGCTGGGCCTCGTCCCCCCCCCCTCCCCCCCTTCCACGTCTTGCGGCCTTGGCTCTCCCACCGTCTCATACACCCTGACCTTCCCCTGCCCGTGTTGAGGGGACCAGGGGGGGGGGGGCCCTGACCTTCCCCTGCCCGTGTTGAGGGGACCAGGGGGGGGGGGCCCTGACCTTCCCCTACCCGTGTTCAGGGGGACCAGGGGGGAGCCCTGACCTTCCCCTACCGTGTTCAGGGGGACCAGGGGGGGGGGGCCCTGACCTTACCCTACCCGTGTTCAGGGGGACCAGGGGGGGAGCCCTGACCTTCCCCTACCGTGTTCAGGGGGACCAGGGGGGGGCCCTGACCTTCCCCTACCCGTGTTCAGGGGGACCAGGGGGGCCCTGACCTTCCCCTACCGTGTTCAGGGGGGCGGCCCTGACCTTACCCTACCCGTGTTCAGGGGGACCAGGGGGGGAGCCCTGACCTTCCCCTGCCCGTGTTGAGGGGACCAGGGGGGGGGGCCCTGACCTTCCCCTGCCCGTGTTGAGGGGACCAGGGGGGGGGCCCTGACCTTCCCCTGCCCGTGTTGAGGGGACCAGGGGGGGGGCCCTGACCTTCCCCTACCCGTGTTCAGGGGGACCAGGGGGGAGCCCTGACCTTCCCCTACCGTGTTCAGGGGGACCAGGGGGGGAGCCCTGACCTTCCCCTACCGTGTTCAGGGGGACCAGGGGGGGCCCTGACCTTCCCCTACCCGTGTTCAGGGGGACCAGGGGGGAACCCTGACCTTCCCCTACCCGTGTTCAGGGGGACCAGGGGGGGAACCCTGACCTTCCCCTACCCGTGTTCAGGGGACCAGGGGGGGAGCCCTGACCTTCCCCTACCCGTGTTCAGGAGGACCAGGGGGGGGAGCCCTGACCTTCCCCTACCGTGTTCAGGGGGACCAGTGGGAGCCTGACCTTCCCCTACCCGTGTTCAGGGGGACCAGGGGGGGGCCCTGACATTCCCCTACCCGTGTTCAGGGGGACCAGGGGGGAGCCCTGACCTTCCCCTACCCGTGTTCAGGGGGACCAGGGGGGGGGGCCTGACCTTCCCCTACCTGTGTTCAGGGGGACCAGGGGGGGCCCTGACCTTCCCCTACCCGTGTTGAGGGGACCAGGGGGGCCCCTGACCTTCCCCTACCCGTGTTCAGGGGGACCAGGGGGGCCTGACCTTCCCCTACCGTGTTCAGGGGGACCAGGGGGGAGCCCTGACCTTCCCCTACCCGTGTTCAGGGGGACCAGGGGGGCCCTGACCTTCCCCTACCGTGTTCAGGGGGACCAGGGGGGCCCTGACCTTCCCCTACCGTGTTCAGGGGGACCAGGGGGGGCCCTGACCTTCCCCTACCATGTTCAGGGGAACCAGGGGGGGCCCTGACCTTCCCCTACCGTGTTCAGGGGTACCAGGGGGGGGCCCTGACCTTCCCCTACCGTGTTCAGGGGGACCAGGGGGGGTGGGAGCCCTGACCTTCCCCTACCCGTGTTCAGGGGGACCAGGGGGGACCCTGACCTTCCCCTACCGTGTTCAGGGGGACCAGGGAGGCCCTGACCTTCCCCTACCGTGTTCAGGGGGACCAGGGGGGCCCCTGACCTTCCCCTACCGTGTTCAGGGGGACCAGGGGGGGAGCCCTGACCTTCCCCTACCCGTGTTCAGGGGGACCAGGGGGGGCCCTGACCTTCCCCTACCCGTGTTGAGGGGGACCAGGGGGGGGGGAGCCCTGACCTTCCCCTACCCGTGTTCATGTGGACCAGGGGGGGGGAGCCCTGACCTTCCCCTACCGTGTTCAGGGGGACCAGGGGGGGCCCTGACCTTCCCCTACCCGTGTTCAGGGGGACCAGGGGGGGGGGCTGTGGAGGGGGGACCCCCCCACCAACGTTGACGACCTTAAACCTGTCTGGCGCGGGGTGAGTGCACTCTCAAGGTGGCCGCCTCCCCCGCCCCCCCCTACCCTCCCCCCTGTAACCACCCCTCCCCCCTAACCCCCTCCCCCCCTCACAACCAACACCTTCATCTACTGGTCCCTCACCCCTTTGCTTCCCTTAACCCCCCCCTCGAAGAGACCTGGTCGAGAACCGGGTCGCGGGGACGTTGAGCCCCGAAATCATCGCAAGGTAACCCTTTCTCCCCTCATCCTGACCTGCCCATATCTTACCTTCCCCTATTATTCTTCCCTCTATCATCACCCCCCCCCCCTCCCCTTCCCTCATCCTTTCCCCTCCCCATAACTACCTTTTACTCCTCCCATTCCCTACTCCCTCCCCTTACATCTGGACCCTTCCCTCATTCCTCTCCCTTCTTCCTCAATGACAATTAGGGAGTATACCACTCCCTAAACGAATCCCTAACTCCCAACAATTCCCTCAGTGTCTTCCTTTCCCTACTTTCTACCTCTCCCTTCCTCCCTCCCTCCCTTCATTCATTTTCTTTCTCTCTCCCTCCCTATCACACACACACACACACACACACACACACACACACACACACACAATTAGGGAATTGACAGGGTTGATAAAGACAGGCTGTTTAACACAAGGGGCACACGCACTAGGGGACACAGGTGGAAACTGAGTGCCCAAATGAGCCACAGAGATATTAGAAAGAACTTTTTTAGTGTCAGAATGGTTGACAAATGGAATGCATTAGGAAGTGATGTGGTGGAGGCTGACTCCATACACAGTTTCAAGTGTAGATATGATAGAGCCCAATAGGCTCAGGAACCTGTACACCTGTTGATTGACGGTTGAGAGGCGGGACCAAAGAGCCAGAGCTCAACCCCCGCAAGCACAACTAGGTGAGTACACACACACACACACACACACACACACACACACACACACACACACACACACCTGTGACAAAGGCTATAGGCCCAGATGGAATATCGCCATGGATACTAAAGGAAGGAGCAGAAGCACTGTGCCTGCCACTCTCCATAGTGTATAACATATCACTGGTAACAGGGGAACTGCCAAAAACTTGGAAGACAGCTAATGTTTTTCTGATATACAAGACGGGTGATAGACAGGAGGCACTGAACTACAGGCAAGTGCCCTAACTTGCATACCATGCAAGCTGATGGAGACAATTGATTTGAAGTGAAAGAACTTTGTAACACTACATCAACATGGGTTTAGGGATGACAAGTCCTGCCTCACAGGATTAATTGAATTCTACGACCAGGCAACAAGAATCAGGCAAGAAAGAGAGGGGGTGGGCAGACGACATATTCTTGGATTGCCAGAAAGCCTTTGACACAGTGCCACATCAGAGACTCGTGTAGAAATTGGAGATGCAGGCAGGAGTGAAAGGGAAGGTACTCCGTTGGATAAGGGAGTACCTAAGCAGCAGAAGACAGCGAGTCACTGTGAGGGGTGAGGTCTCAGATTGGCGAGGCGTCACCAGTGGAGTCCCGTAGGGATCATCCTTGGAACTATACTGTTTCTGATACATGTAAATGATCGCCCAGAGGGTATAGACTCGTTCCTCTTATTGTTTGCTGATGATGAAGGAATGAAACTGAAGGAATGGTACAACAAATGGCTACAAATATTCAACTCATGTAAATGTAAGGCAATGAAACTAGGCGATGGAAACAGGAGGCCAAACACAAGATACAGAATGGGAGATGAAGTCCTTCATGAAACGGACAAAGAGAAAGATCTAAGAGTTGATGTAACACCAACCCTGTCTCCTGAAGCCCACATAAAAAGAATTATGTCTGCGGGATATGCGAGGCTGGCTAACATCAGAACTGCCTTCAGGAACCTGTGTAAGGACTCATTCAGAACCTTGAATACCACATATGTAAGACCAATCCTGGAGTATGCGGCCCCATCATGGAACCCGTACCTTGTCAAGCACATGACGAAGCTGGAAAAAGTTCAAAGGTATGCCACTAGGCTAGTCCCAGAAGTTCGGAGAGACATGATCACCACATACAAAATTCTCAAGGGAATTGAAAGGGTAGACAAGGATGGATTATTTAACACGGGTGGTATACGAACAAGGGGACACAGGTGGAAGCTGAGTACCCAAATGAGCCACAGAGACATTATAAATAATTTTTTCAGTGTCAGTGTAGTTAACAGTTTGACAGTTTCAAAAGATATGATAGCGCCCAATAGGCATAGGCTTAGATCTGCACACCAGTCGATTGGTAGTTGAGAGGCAGGACCAAAGTGCCAAAGGGACCAGCGAGGAAGGAAGGAAGGAGAGAGAGAGAGAGAGAGAGAGAGAGAGAGAGAGAGAGAGAGAGAGAGAGAGAGAGAGAGAGAGAGAGAGAGAGAGAGAGAGAGAGAGAGAGAGAGACCACGTCACACTGCCCATGAACTTGACCAGGTGGCCTGGCCCTCACCTGGAGGTTTCACTCTGGTGTTCCGGGTGAGGCTGGTACCACCTGGCCTGGTGGTGTCCTGGTACCTCCTCTTACCTCCCACCACAACTGTCTCCCCTACACTCACACACACACACACACACACACACACACTCACACACACACACAAAGTAGTGTCAGAGTAGTTACTAAGTAGAGTAGTAGTAGTTAATTTAATTTCAGTGTCAGAGTAGTTAATAAATGGAATGCACTAGGAAGTGATGTGGTGGAGGCTGACTCCATACACAGTTTCAAATGTAGATATGATAGAGCCCAATAGGCTCAGGAATCTGTACACCAGTTGATTGACGGTTGAGAGGCGGGACCAAAGAGCCAGAGCTCAACCCCCGCAAGCACAATTAGGTGAGTACAATTAGGTGAGTACACACACACTCACACACACTCACACACACACACACACACTCACACACTCACTCACACACTCACTGACACACACACTCACACACACACACACACACACACATTTTTGGAATGTCAGAAAGCCTTTGATACAGTGCCACACGTCAATCAACTGGTGTACAACTGTACACCAGTTGATTGACG